ACTCCCTTGAGCAAAATAAAGGTTCCAGAAGGGCGGACTCAGTACCTTACCATTCATGCACTTGTTACACATAACCTAATACTGATTTTTGAAGCAACCACCATATACAAAATATCTAGAGGACCATACCATACGGCTATATCTTTGATCTGCATAATTTCTCGTAAGCTCTAAATTCTAGGGCCCGCATTAGCCATTGCGCTGGATCTTGTTAACACTAAATGGTTAGGAACAGCTAATTGCTTCGCGCAGTATGCATTAAGATCTTGGAGGATATCCGTCGGAAATAGGCTTATTGGAATGAATCCTTAATAATTTTCACTTTTAAGCTATCGCGAACATTGAGTAGCCATTCACTAAAGAGAACAAAAAAGAGAGATCGTGTTTCCAGGAGCAATGTTTTCTTTTCGTGGTTTCGGGGCATATACAAGGCATTCGGCCAAAAGTGCAGAAGACGTAAAAAGAAACCGCTCGCAACTCAAAAGAAGTTGGACCGGTGAAGCCGAAACGTAGTTTCTATTTCTGGCCCTCCCTTTCCTGCTTCCCATAAGTGAGGGTTTCCGCTTAATCAACAAATTAGATTATTACGACTACATTGTGCATTCCCAATATTTAGCCATTCTTCCATTGTTGGACGAAATACCGCAAAGAATAGACGTGCCGTAGTGGTGGGAACAACCTCTTTCTGTATGTAGAAGGCATAGTGTAACCAATTTAGAGGCAGCGGGCGCTTTTCTCACTTGAACAAAGTGGATTATATCCAGCTGATTGGGTGCTGCATTTGAATGCTCACGCTTCGATTGGTTCTTCTCGCAATAATAAGACCTCCAATTCTACACGCCTCAACGGTGGAAGTTAGCGACATATTCTCGAACAACAGCATCTACTACCTGCTTGCTATATTTACGTTTATATGGTAGAACCTACTTAAAGAATGATCAGGTAGGGTTTGTTTTGAATTTAATCTAGAAGGATCTGAAGCAAAGACTTGACATTTTTTAAATGACTTTCGAACTTGCGTCTACTCAGCTCACACCTGATTAGCTAAGTGGGCAGAAGCTAAGACCGCTGACGTCTTTGTTTTCACAAATGCGCCAATGGGAAAACACAATCATTCGGTCGCCGCCATTACCGTAATCCAAGCATAGCTCCGCCTAACTCCGCCCCGTATCATGTTTGCCAGCGAACAGTGCCTCACAAAGAAACAGGCGCAACGAGTGCCGGTTCTTACTTTGCTTTTCTTGTTTTCCTTACCACAAGTGTTCCTCGATTGCCTTACACTTACGTTTTGCCACCTTCGCACATTCTAACGCTTTCATATATTCACATTCGCATTCACTCCTGAAATTTCGTATTGACTCGCTTATCCCTCTCGACTACCTAACGCTTTTCTAGCAGATCAGAATGAACGGTATATCGTTAC